TTTATTAATCAGTGGTGGATTAGACTGTTATCTCAGGGCAAGAACTTGTCTGGGCAAGAATTGGGGTATGTTCACTGCATTTGCAACTATCTAAGAAAAATTCCAGACTGCAAATCAAGGATTTTGGAAGAGGAGCAGAAGTTCCTAAAAAAGAAAAATTCAAATCTGGAGAGAAATAAATATGAATAATCAATCAGATTTATAGACCCCCACCCTGCAGATATATTAGAATCTGTCCTTAAATTACAGCCAAACCCATTTACACAGTAACAGATAAAAAACCTTTAGATAAATCAAACATTACCGCCACATATCTGACTCAATCACCATTAAAATAACTATTTTCATTCATTTCATACGGAACTATTCACATACTTGTATTATATTAAACAGAATTTCCAATATTCACCACTGTTCGGCACAAAGTACTATTTTCCTCTGATCACAGGTGCAGCCGGCTCACTTGGACTCGCAATGAATCCTGGGATATCTAGAGCTACATAGGATACACCAGACCCGTCCTTCAAATCAAGCAGGGAGAAGGAGGCATTTTAAGGCCGCATGATGAGGAGTTTTGGAATTCGACCAGACCTCGGCGACGCGCTATGATGTAATCGGCCTACGAATCTGGCCTTCGGAGGAAAATAAGATGGAGAATGCATATCTAACGTGCATCTGCTTGAAAGGCTCTGCCAATCATTGGTGCTCAGTACATAACCAAATATCTACACAGTCCAAGGGCAGGCTGAAAGCCTACACCCAGATTGGGGCCTTTAATATGGGAAAGCAAATTACTTGGGTAGACCTATAAAGGCTTGAAAAATCCTGGATAATGACCAAAAGTCGCTGCAGTGAAAAAGGACTGATAAGTTCATTAATTGACCAATACACGTCGCTCCATTGCTTTTATAGGATGATTTCAGTTTTTTTAGTCTTAGTCTGCAAGACTCAAGATAAACAGAAGTTTATGGATGTTTGTATTTTCTTTTGTGATTGTAAGGCACTTTTGATTTCAAATTTGACACAGGGTTAGAGATAGGTTGAAAGTAGTGGCGGCGTCTTTTCTGTCGCAGCAGGAGAACCTTGGGAAGGAAAAGGGAGGGGGACGCCAGAGGAAATGCGAGTGTTTCTGTATCTGAGTGGGAGGACGTTTTGGAGACACAAGGTCTGCAAGAGTGACACAAACATCATTCCTGAGATTCACAAATACATCCTGGGCAGAAGCTTGCCTAGTTAAACGTGTTATTCTGGTAAATTGATATTTAACGGTCCCTTCTATGTCCAGCTGGGACACCGACAACTCAGAACAAAGACATAAACACTTTAGACCGCTCCAAAGTCTTGAAGTAAATCTATTTTGGCTGATGTAAATGTTTCTACAGACTGCCCACAGTGGGACCTTCTGCAAACCCTTCTTTTAGATGACCAACATCCCTGATCCTGATCAGAGCATGACGTTATCAAACGGCAACAACTCTACAGTTTACAAGCAGCTTAAATCTCTACAGGCATCCCATCATTGCAGAAAACTGGCTTCTTTTGTCAGAACCCTCTAAAAAACAGATTTAGAGAAAGTTTTTCACTCTGATAAAATTCTGATGTAAAATTGGTCAAACTGTTTGCTCAGCAGCGGAAGATAAGACCTGAAATTGGGTCAAACTGATAAAAATGTGAGCTGTATCCTACTGGAAAAATAGGCTTTCGAATAGTTATTTAAACAGCAGATTAAAATCAGATCTTTCTGCTGATATTTACATTAAAACTGTGTCGAATTGTGCCAACAGATAAGTAAAAAAGTTACTTTATATCCCAGGAAGTGGGAGCATTTGTCTTCCTTCTTGTAGAGGAAACCCATTACACTAAAAATGGATTTGTTTTAAAGCTAAATTCTTAATAGTTTTTTTATTTATTTTATTTTTTATTTCAAGTCTTCTTAATCTTTCTTATCTCTATTCTCTCTGGCATCTGTTTCTAACACTAAGAAAGTTTTTTTGAACCAGTTCACTGCTATGATGTGTTTCACCACATTTCTTTCAGCTTTGCTTTCATTCTACAAGATTAAACGTGCGGATTATGGGTGTGGAAATGTAGGTTTATTATTTATTTCAACATTTACTCACCTACAAATCCAGGGTATCTAAATCCCTCTCATCCAAATTTAATATACTTAAATTCAGAATGCATTATAATGCATAAAAAAATAAAAGTAGAGTCTAAACTGAAAGATTATTATAAGAGTTTTACCTCAACAACTCAGCTTTAAGCAGTGCTGTCATTAAGGTTATTACTGTTGGAATATAACCCCTTGTGTTTAGTCATTTATTAACAAGAGGAGTCAAATATTCACATGCAATCATAATAAAAAAGATATCAGCATCATCTATTAAGTAAGAAAGGTCATAATAATTTAAACAAAGGAACCGTCTTGTGCTTAATGATATGCATGAGCTTATTAATGATTTAAATGCTGCATAGGATCTCATTGCGTGCTCGGTTAGAGCTGAGAAATGTGTCAACTGCAGGAGCAGAGGTGTTAAAGAAGCAAGTCAAACATATCAGACATCATTAATGCACAAATGCAGGCTCCACTGGAAAACCCCCAGGCTTAAAGGGTTTATTTAACATGCAGGAATGAACTCTGAAATGTTGTCTATGGCACACATTACTGTTAAGAATTAAAAAGCTACATTTCCTGCAGATGTTTGATTCTATACTGATTTTTCACAAGCAATGGTTTCTAAACTGTTAATATTAGATCTACTGTGTTTTCCTTTTGTTTCCATAATACAGATGTTAATACATCTGCATCAACATCAGTAATAGCTATTTTTCAACACATTGAACCGGCCAGATAAGTAAAACTTGGCCGCAAGTTCTATCCGGTTTCTCGAAAGC